GCAACGAAGACCCAACACAGCCACAAATAAAAAACAAATAAATAAATAAATTTAAAAAAAAAAGTTAATAAAGTGTTTAAGTTGCAATGATCAAAGATAGGCACCAACTGGACACACTGTAAAAGAATTAGAATTGTAACTTGTGATAAAATATTCAATATCTTCCCCATATTTAAAAGGGATGTATCTCAAAAAACTGAAAGTGTGGTCTGCAAAAACATATTCACTGATCCAAAGTATAGCTCCAGTGATGATAAAAACACAAAGGTCAAAGATGGATGTGAAGAGTTTGAAGACAAATGTTTTATGAATATGAGGAGGAGAAAGAACAATATTTCTAAATTAGTGTGATTTTATAAAGTATGTGATTTTAAATAGGCACAGGTACCTAAATTTAAAATGCAAATCATGTAAACAAGCATTTGGTTTGTTTACCTACATACCTAATAGTATGTGTATTCTCGAGTTGACCAAAAAACACTTTAGGGGACTTTTTAATAGGGAAAATGGGGAAATTTTGATATTTGCACTTTCTAATAGTTGGGCAACATGGTATATGCTGAATTTCAATAAGATAAAATTGATTCACATAGCTAGCCTACTGACCACTTAACAAGCAGAGCCCTGGTCCCGTCTATCAAAAGCATAAAAATCTAGTTAGTGTGACTATATTTAGGGACTTGCTCCACCTCTGTTTAATAATCTTTCAGATACTAGAACTTGAAACAAGTCAACAGCAGGAGTTCGGGATTCATTCCTGGATCCCTAGTGTTCCCTCCTTCAGGATCTGCAGTGGTGCAATGCCCGTCACTTGCAGCCAGCTCTTTAGCCTGGCTCTCCATCCTATCCCCACCCACCACCAGCCCTCATTCATCATCAGGTCAGCCCCATCCATCCAGCTGACCTAATTCCCTACCACAGCCAACCTGGTCTTTCCCTCGTAACGGCTCCTCCCACTGGCATGGCTGCCGCCCCAACTCCACCCTTTACAGCCTAACCCGAGTCCCACATCCTCCATGAAGTTGTCCTGACCGCCTCACCCCACAACAGATCGGCTTCCACTCCCTGAAATCCTCATACAATGCAGTCATAATTTAGCACTTCATTACATGCTCTGCTGAGTCATTCTGTGATTGCTTCCGGCATATTCTTTTTTTTTTTTCCCTCTAAGATAAAAGAATTTTGACTGAGACAAATAATTCTTCTAGATTTCCCTCAGAGTTGACTGGCACTTGACTGAATGTCGTCTAATGACATCATGCCATTTCAAATGGAGAATGTTTCTGCCCCTGTTCAAGGGCAGTCTAAAGGGAAAACAAAAGTAGTACCTTCAGTAACAACTGTTGTTGGCAAAACTGCTACCTCTGAGATTGTACCAGTATTACCCTACCGGCCTGAATCACACAGCATTTGCAATGGGGTGACTGCAGGTGGCACAAAAAAGGAAGACAATCGCTAATAATACAACCACATCTTGCTTTCTGGAGTCATAAAAGGTTCTCCGAGCGTCAAATTCATCAGCTTGTCAAGAAATAAAACAGCCTGTCACAACAGAGACCTTCAAAAGATACCCAGAATCTCACCACTGCTCATCACCTCTACTACCACAGCCCTGAGCGAAGCTGCCATCACGTGTCACCTGCAGTACTGCAACAGCCACTAACTGGTTTCCCTGCACCCACGCTGGCCTCCTCACAATCTACTCTCAACAGCGACCTAAATGAGGCTGCTGAAATGCTCAACAGATTGTGTCAAAACCCTTCAATCATAGATCAGTCTGACTCCTGGTAGGAAACAGATGGCACATTCAAAGTGGGTGATTTGAGGAGAGTTCATATCATAACACAGGGGCCAGCAACACAAGGGTACTTCATCCTCTTCTAGACCTGAAATGTGAAGAGAGGGCGTAGACAGGGAGACAGAGAGCTCCATGGAGAAGGCACCTAATTGGAGATGTGACCTTAAGTCTAGAGACACTCCAGCCCACACAATCCTGCGGGAAGGGAATATATTCGCCAATCTCATCATTCTCCCTCACTCTCATCCCCTATCAATACTCCCCATGGCCAAATGCAGACAGAAGGCAGAAAGCAAGGTTGCCTGTCAGTGCAGGTCCACCTCCTGGGGCACATCTACAGAGCAGGGTAGAAAAGGGTAGAGTGAATCTGGGGAGGTAAATGGAAGCTATTCAGCCAAATGGTTTCCCATCTCAATCAGGGTATCTCAAAGTACGAGATCCAACCTTATCTCCTGTTCTGTTTGCTAACCTCTCTACTCAGTGGCTCTCCACTCACCAGGCACACCCGGCCTCAGGTCCTTTGTACTTGCTGCCTTCTCTGCCCAGAATGTTTTTCCCCCAGATACACACACGGCTTGTCCCCTCACCTACTTCAGCTCTCAGCTAAAATGTTACATCAGTAGAGGTTTCCTTTACCACCTTATATAAAAACCTCCCTTGCTCCTATCCCACCCATGCCTGGCACATCTATCTCCCTTATCTTGCTTTATTTTTCTCCACAGCACTTCTCTCTAACATTAGATAGATAGATGGATGGATAGATTTTTTTTTTCTCCTTTTTAATTGACTGCCTCTCTGGCCTAGAACAAAAGTTTCATAAAGGCATCCACTTGGCCTCTTTTGTTCACTCCCTTATACCCAGTGTCTAGAACAGTGCCTGGCCCAAAGAAGGCACTCACGTATTTGTTGGATGAATGAAAATGAATGAATGGAACAGAAGAACCCATAGCTAAGGACTCTTTCCACTGTTCAGAGGTTTCACTCCTACTGTCAAATCATTGTTAAGCAAATAAATAGGCTCCTGATAATCAGACAGGAAGCAGGTGACAAGCATTTTTTATTGGCAATGGCACAAAATTGAGTGCTGTCAGTAAACCCCTAAGAATAAATGGAATCTTCAGTCAGAACCAAAGGAATAACAGCAGTGTCTTCTGTAAACAACTCCTAGCAAGGTTGTTTTTTCTTATGACTATATCATCATTAACCTACCAACCTAATCCTTCTATAAGACTCAGTCTTCTCATCTGTAAAATGTGTAAGGATTGAATGATACAATGTATGGAGAGCATTTATTGGGTATGGAACCCAATAAATGGACACTATAATGATTATTAAAACATTGAGGAAGCCATGAGAATGAGATACTATGTTATCTTCCTATGATCTGGAACTGTTTATCCTAGACTTTTAAAACGTGAGCTGGAATAATGACATGGAAAAGAAGTATAAGATGCTTTGCTATCCACCACACAGTTGGGCCTAGATCTGAAAGACATCCTACAGTACCAGTGCTCCATATCAGAACCTAGTTTCCACACCTGGCCCATACCCTGGCCAACCCTTTTGCAGGCCAGTACCTTGTTGCATCCATTTCTGCATCACTCATTATATCTAAGCACTTAGAACATAAGTGCTGGGTTTTCCCTCATAGGAACTAAGCAGGGCATGTGACTGAAAAAATAGTGTAAGCAAAAGAGAAAGAGCAGATCAGTAAAGCTCCTGGTGATGCTCCTGTTTTTGACTTACCCTTCTAACCATGGAAGTCTCTGTTCTGGTCTGCAAATTAGACCAAATTCTGATTCCCTTTTCTCCACTAACATTTTATCTATCCATAGCTTCATCTGCTGGGTCAATTCAGTTAACTACGCAAAAGGTGACCCCATAGTCTTAGGTCAGATAAAAAGAAAAAGGCTTGACCTGAATCCACTCAACAATCCATCACTTAGGAATACTGCAAAGATCCTGTAGTAGCTTTTTCATTGATGGGAGATTTCTTTGCAATTTTTTGCAGAAGATTTCTGTAGGACACACTGGTGAGCTAACTAACCTGGGAAGCTAGATTCAAAAGGTAAGTTTCCTTTCTACCCTAAAACCCATGAAACTTAAATCTCCAGTTAAAATATTCCTTCTGCTACTATGTGTATACGTGTGTATTCAAGCCCTTGTTTTTGTTATTTTAGTCATAAATATACAATATAATAATTATCATTACTAATTTTTGCCAAAATTGAGGCTTCCAACCTCAGGCATGAAAATCAAAGCAGGTCCCTCCAAGATTAAGCCTAGGGATTGATCTTACTAAGAGGTCTTATTTTAGTAAGCAGCCTGATGCTTACTTGTTAGTGCTAAAAAAAAATCATTCTGATCACTTCTCCTAGTGACAGATGGGTAACCATAACTAACTTGGGACCAATTCCAATTGAGGAATGAGAAGAAAAACAAAACTATAATTCACTACTCATTCCGCAAACACGTTTGAAAGTGATAGGTCCCATCTACTTCGAGGCCTCAGTGAATGGCAAGTAGTACAAAATTCACACTCTTATTACAGCACTTCCCAAACTGTGCTGTTTTCCTCTCTGTCTTCCCCAACCAGGCTGTGCCATGCTCCTGATCAGGGGCTGTTTCATTTCTTTGCATTTCCATTGTTCGACATTGTGACCAACACACTGCTGGTGCTCAAATGATTGAATGGCTACTATAATGTCCCCCCACGAGGCAGGCGTCAAACCTGGCACTGTGGGTCATAAATTAAACATCATGGAATGGCATGACCGCAGTCTGGCCACTTCTTTTCCCCTCTATGTCCCAAAACTATAAGCAGGGTGGGGAAAGTGCATTATCCATACGAGAACCTCCCGATGTCTGGCAAAATAGAGTGGGCTGTCCGACCCACCCAGGCTGCTTCAGTCCTCCAGGCACAGAACAAGATTCTCTCCGCTCCCTAAGGCAGAGGGGGCCCAGGTACTGTCCTCTCCCTCCAACCTTGACAACGACCCCTCCCCGAACCGGCCCCACAAGCATTCCACTCTCCAGCCCAAGCCTGGGCGCCGGGAGCGTCCCAGAGGTGGGGGGGGGGCGCCGCGGAGCACTGTGGGAGCTGTAGTTCCCGGGTGGGTTCCGCACCCCGGCGGCCCTGAGGACCAGACTCCCGCTCCCAGAAGCCCCCGCGCGGGCGCCTCGCCCAGTCAAGCCAGCTCACCTGTTCCGTGGACGTGACTGTTTCTACCGAGTCGTCCTGCAACCGCTCCCGCGCGTGCTCGGGCCTCAGACTGTACAGCGGCTCTGACCAGACAGGGGAGGAAGATGGAGGGCAACAGTAGGTGAAGGAACTCGGAGAAGCCATGCTCTGGAAAGCAGCAGGCGGTGTATAGGACTCAGCTTCGTCAAAGAACAACGCGCCTTGAAACTCTAGCGGGCTAAGGCGCTACGGAGAGCGGGTAGAGTCAAAAGATTTTGAACGCGAATCGCTCCTGCCGCCTACACAACCTCAGGGAGTGAGTTGCTGGAATGCTGCCGCCCCCCATTGGGCAGAGGAGCTGCTGCAAGAGGCTCAGTTTCCTGGCGCAAGGAAGGACGTGTACATCTGAATTTCATTTCACACCTTTTCAACATTCTGCTCATTCTCATTTACTTATGTCAGTAGTTCACAGTTTCGGGTGCCCAAGAACCCAATGAGGGTAACTTTTAAAAAGGCATTTCTGACAGCTCTCCTGATTGCCTCAGGCATACTATTATGAACAGAATTATTGCACACCTTTGGGTACATGACAACTGCCCAGGAGAAGCCAGCAGCTTCTCCACAAAGGAATTGCCACCTCAGTAGTCCGTGATGGAGGGAAGTGGCACTGCAATTCTCTCCTATCGATTTGGGGGTTACAGTGCAGTAGCAGGAACTAAAACTCAGTAGAAGGCACAAGTGTAAGTGAAACAACCAAGAAAGTATTCACTCATTTATTAAGCAATTTTTTTTATAGAGCACCTACTACATGTCAGGCACCCGTGCTAGGCCTCAAGAATACAAAAGTGAACAAAACAAACAACGTCCCCCCCCCGCCCTTGAGAACCTTACAGCCTAATGGAATTGATAGAATTAAGTGAACAAACACTAAAAAATCTGTGAACACTTGTGATGAATTGTATGAAGAAAAATAACAGGGTCAATGAGAGAAAGTAAACGAGGAGGGGACTAATTAGATTGGGTGGTCTGGCCAAGCCTCTCTGAGTAAGTGACATGTAAGCCGAGACCTAAAGGATGACAAGGAGACATCCGTGTGAACAACATGGGGAAGAGCCTCATGAGAGAAGGGCCAGCAAGCTTGACAGAACACGCCATAAATATACTCATGTGTGTTTGTATTCATTCTGATGCTTAATCTGAAGGTGTTCTGAATAAAAGAAATTCCTATTGAGTGGGATTAGTCATCATATATGCCTCCATTAAATGTTCAAGTAGTGATTTTAGGAAAACCCTGCTACCTTTGGACAAGCAATAGAGAGGACCTCTTTCAGGGCCCACAACAAAAAGACTGCACCAAAATTATAACACCAAGAGGTTAAACTATTTAGAGTGGGGGTGAGGGTTTTGGGGGTGGGAGAAGATAAGATAATAACAGACTTTCCAGATAGACACAAACCCAACTTCCTGCTCGGAGCATTTTACTCTGTTCCCACTAAATTCCAAGCCACATGTCCAGGACCCAGGGAACCGTGGTGCCATCCTTCACAACCAGCCATTCCCCTGTTCTTTTTTTTTTTTTTTTTTTTTTTTTTTTC